CATAAGAAGATTGAACCGTTGGCCAGCCCCTCAGTAACTTTTGATGCTTGGTTTTCGTTCATGCAAAATGTCGAAACCTCCTTGTTAAGATCGTAGCGCTGCAGGGGCGGGGCACCACATTTATTTTGCTTGAAGCTTGAAAAAGCTCCAACGATGACCGCAATCGGCTTGCATGTTTCAATGTATGTAGTCAATTACCCCGTTTCATGGGAGCAGCCAGGGCCCTGACAAGGGGAAGGGGGCACAGGGTTGACAAAAGGCCCCCCAAAAACGCTACATATGGCAAATTTGTTATTGAGCGCATTTCCCCTCACATATATGTATATATATATATATATATATATATATATATATATATATATATATATGGTTTATTTCCTTACACTTAGATTATTTCCCCTTATATATATATATATATATATATATATATATATATATATATATAAGGGGAAATAAACATAAGGAAAAAACACGCGCTCCGGTGGGGGTCAAATTGACTCCTTGGAAGGTTTTTCCAGAACAGTTCCCAAACGGCGTGGCATAGCCGTGCCATATTTTGCATACCTGTACACAATTGAATAGCGGATCGTTTCATATACGAAATTTGGGTGCACCTTGTAAGGTCGCTCACCTATGGCAGGTTAAAGTCGGACCATGTTTTCAGCGAAGACAATTTCTAGGGAATCGTTCAATCTGGCGGAACAACGGAGTGTTTAACGCAGCTTTACATCTATGAGATGCTTTCTGAGGTAACACAAATATCGAATGAGCAAATACGTTGACCAAAGCCCAGGTATGAGGGTCAGACCAAGGTCAAAACCAACCTGTTTTTTTACTCTAGGGATTTCTGTATGGGATGGCTTCTGGTGCTCATTTCGAATTTATTGATAGCAGGAACCGCATTATACATCTTCCAATGACTTGTCAGGGGTCAGAATGGGTCGTCGACCTAAAATGACCCAGGTCGACATTTTGTTTTTAGGAATATACTGCCTACTATAATCTTTGTCGCTTATTCAGATGCAAAACCCAGAGCAGTCTCGTATTATTTTGGTCACCATGACCTTCAAAAGGTTGAAAACGTCACTGGCCTTAAATGAGCTTGTGACCTTTTGCTTAGAACCAGTTATCTAGATTCTGGGGGCACTTTGGAGACCAACCTGGAATTGACCTTGTTTGACCTTATTCGACCTGAAGATCCTGATCTAGGAACCTTAAACTTGATCGAAGTGAGTTCACGTACAGGTTAACACATCGTGCAAATTTGGTGTCTCTAGCTTTTTTAGTTCCCGAGATCTCAGGGGGGGGGATCGAATTGACCCCTACCCGAGCGAAGGGTATCTAGCCGGCCACGCGGGCGCGTATTGATTGCCTGACCCTGCATCCTCACTTGCCGGGTCAATCTGATCGCTAAGGAGCTTTTCACGTTGCCCTTGATCTCTGCATTTTTTTTTTCGTAGGGCCCAATGTGCTGTTGGGACGCTATTTACCTCCATGCCTGAGCACTGTTAATCGGTCAGGTTTTCCTCTACGGATTTTTCTCATCTGCTTGAAAGCCTCTACACAATTTTTTCCGGGGCCCCATATACCTGGGTACACTCAGCTGCTCAGAGGCCCTCCATATAAGTTTCGGGTTATTTCAATTTGCTTGGAGGACCTTGTGCTGTTGCTAGGGCTCTTATAAGGTAATGCATGGAGACATGGAATGCTCAGGGGCCGCTTACTTTAATCAATTTGATTGAGGGCTCTTTCCCTTTGGTCTCATTAGCGGAAGACTTCACTCCTATCGAGGCTCGTGTTGTTAACCTGCCCCTGGACTCTTGATCACACATGGGTATTAATTTATGGTCTTAGATAATTCCCCTTTGCTCGGAGGGTCCTGTACTATGGCCGGGGCCTTATATGTCAGCCTGCCGGGGCACCACCGGTCGTTTAGGGGCACGCCACGTTGGCCCTGGCTTCTTTTTGCATGCTCTGAGGACCCTATACTTGTTGACGAGAGCCACTTTGTTGTCCTCCTGCGGCACCCATGATCGCTCAGTTTCGGTCCCTATTGGCCTCGGTGCCTTCGCCTTAGAGCAGCAGTTGAATATGCGTCGATGAATTTTTACGCGCGATTGCCGAACGTAATTTACATGCCGCCGACGTCGTATAGGTCCTTTCGACTGACTATTCAGTGTGCGACACTTGTTATACACATGCATCATGTTCTTAAGATGTTTTGAACGCTAGGATATGCTGTACTTGTTTATAACAAAGGAACAATTATGCATTAGTCATTAGCCATCTGCTGATTACATCGCCCAGCCGTCAAGCCGTAAATACAAAAGCTAGCAATCAAGCCCATGCTTGGTTTTGATGTTGTTTGCAGCCAACTCAAGTCTATTTTGCCTGTTGTTCCGAAACGCATATCCTCAAAATCACAGCCTTTAAAATGATCTGTAGAAAATTAGTGAGCTTTTTGTGTGTACATGCGTGGCACGCCTATGCTTTATAGGGCTGTGCACAGTGACATGGTTTTAAATATATTTTTTAAAGAAAAGAAGTAAATGCATACATGCATGCATATGCATATGCATATATATATATATATATATATATATATATATATATATATATATATATATATATATATAATTGCATACATATGCATATATGCATATGTGTATATATATACATATCCATAATATTACATACCTGTCTTAGAATGTAAAGAACGAAATGCAACAATTTTTTGGAGAGGCCCCAAATCCAGGGGGCTCCACATTGTTGCGTGCCCTCCCCCCTTGACAAAATCCTGCATCCGCCCCTGATGGGATAAACAGCATTTTGATATTGCAACAAATGTTTGGCACGCAACCATATCTAAAGAGCGACTTTAGTCACTTACAATGCCGCCGCTCCATTCATCTTCGTATCTGCTACTGCCTGCTATCTGCTGCCTGAGCGCGAAGTGTTCGCTTTCAATTGTGGTTCAGTACGCCGTTTTCGTCGCACTTGCGCTAGAAATGCAAGCATAACGCAAAAATCGCGCGTTTTCGGGCTAACGCGCTGGGCGCTAACCGTAACTTTACGCTCAGTTTTGTGACTGGCTGATGTAAACATGTCGGATTATCGTCGCTTTCGCGAACGATTCGAATCGTTTACACTTGTAGTTCACCGACTCATGTAAACTGGCTGTAAACATGTAGCTGGATGACGTCCACCTGATGTGCTGGATGAATAAGACACCTCCACTCTCCGCACCACCGACACCTTCGCAGCGGGTTAAAGGCTCCAAGGGTCGTGCGCGACCGCCTGCACGGCGTGAGGCACACTTTGATCTGTTTCAGTGACAATCAACGCAAGACGCTGCTGGAGATGGGCTACTCCCAGAGTCAGCAGCCAATAGTGGAGCCGGTTTTGGGCGAGCTGGACCACACAGAAGCCCCTGCTGAGGCTCCTTTGATAGCGTGATGACGATGCTCCTGCCACCTGCTCACAGAGCCGGCAGTCTGCACGGGATCGACGTCTGTTGTCATTGTCATGGTAACGATTGAGTGCTGGTGACCTAGCGCCCAGACTCTGCTGAGGGTGATGGCTTCTCGCCGAGCCCGGTGACAGGACCTGTCTGAGCGCCAGATTAAAGCAGTCGATGGCTTCAAGTATGCTTCAGCTGCCAAGTGCCTCCGCGGAGCCTCAAATTGCACCCGATGCACGATGGTGCACAGGACGCTCGAAAACTGCGAACGAATTCTAGCCGACCGAATCCAATTTTGTGTAGCTGATCACTCGTAGACAGCTGAATAAAGTATTTTGGAGCACAAATAGATGTGGTTCGAAGCATATTGCGAGTGAAAAGGTGACAACCACTTTTCTGTTGGGCAGGACGGAGTCCTCAAAGACGCTTCCTCCTGCTCGAGAACTCAGCGAAAGCACTCTTGCTTTTTATGTAAGAAATTAAATAGAGATTCGTCTGAAAAGTAAAGTTAGGAATGTCAGTGTTGGCACCGGAATGAACGCGCCTTTAACCCAGCGGAGCCACTCGTCGTTAGGTTTCGTTGATCTGATGTGCCATGTGCATGCTCCGAGGGTTCCTGTCTGGTTTTGCGTTATTGGTGGCTTGGCAACGCACAGTGTATGCTATCTCACGGATGTGCGAAACTGCAACGAGCAAGTTTTGCCTAAATGTGTCTTGCTCTAAGAGCATGCCGAGCGACCCAGTAGTCACGGCCGAGTGTACATTATCAGGCTTCCGTCGTTTTGCTTCCGGGAACAATATATGGTCGAACGCATCGGCTTCGGAACCACTTCCAGCATTGCGTCGTTTCTGTACCTCGTCACTTGTCTGCCAAGGCTTCGGTGCGCGGGTATGCTGTGTCTGAATTGGCCCCACCGTTTTCCTCCGGCAGTCATTCGCACATACTCATTGGCGGTCACTCGCACATTCTCCGGGGCGTCCGTCTCGTTCCGTTACCCGGAGATGTCTGCTTGAGATGTCCACCGGTGATTATCCTTACACCGCTTCACCGGCAAGGCGCGGCACCTTAAGCTGTCGATGATGACACTCCCGCCAGTTATCCACGCATGCACTCCATTGCGGTATCACACCATGCGTCATATTATGGACGTGACGGTGTTGTTATGTTGTTAGATCTCGTAATCTGGCAATCCGATGGTCGTTCCGCGCGCGTGGCGGGTAGTTGCTGGGACACTGCTTCTTGCTCCTTCCCTACAGGCATGGGCGCTTTCCTGACACTGTCAACCAAGTGCCAACAATGCTGGCTAAACTGCAACATGAACTTGCTCCGTTCCAGGCGTACACCGACATTGAAATCCATGCGCATATACCGAGTTTAGCCACATGGCATGCCATCAAGAGGCGTTTCCATGACGACGTAGCACGTGGAAACCGCTGAATCGTAGTGCCAGCCGAAAAGACCTGGCATCGAACAGCAGACGTTGGCTTGAATGTCTCATCTGCGATCTGCAAGTCTGGAGATGTGTGTGGAAATATTGGACACGTAGCACAGGGATGCGTATATTGTCATCTATACGATACAATAGCATACGTTTTACCGTATTTTGATACATAGTCATCACATGATTGCATTGACATGCAAGAGATGCAACGTAGCACCCTCACTGATACCAATGTCACGCACAAACGCCCAAATGCGACTCGAGAATTCAAGAATACTTGACGATCACTGTTAAGTTGCGCGCCACGTGCACACATCTGCGTTTGCAATGGTGACCAACTCACACATGAATATGAGCCGGCTTCACGCAACACAGATTCGAGCGACACGTGACTATCAGATCATCACGGGACGGTTACCGGGCCGCGTCACGTGGCCGCCCCCTGGGTAGCGCCCCGCCCTCGGCACCGTCCCAGACGCGGCCTCCGCCTAGTGGCGGCCCGGTGCACTATAACTTCATCTCCCACAGCACCAGGTGGGCGTCGTGTGAGTTGGCCGCCCGGCTGCCCGGGCTCCGGCGGTCGGCCCGCCCCCAGTTGACGTAGCCACGGCCGGCCATGACCGTGAGCACGCTGCGCGCCGGCTCCTCCTTGCGCCGGCCGGTCGGCTCCGGGCTGCGGAACGAGTGCACGCGCGAGGCCGGCGCCGAGTGGGCGCGGTCGCCCTCGGACGAGGAGCTCGTCGTGTGCACCGACGAGCGAGAGTCCACCGACCAGCTGGAGAGGTCCAGAGAGCGCGGCCGGCCGGCGCGCAGCTGCAGCCGCCGGTCCAGCGTGGCCATCTTGTGCGGCAGGCCGGCCAGCTCCGGGTCGCTGCGGCGCACGTGCTCGCTGAGCTCGCCCAGCTCGCGCGACTCGTCAAAGCCGTGCAGGTTCAGCAGGTTGCCGTACAGGCCGTACACGTCGTCGCACACGCTGCCGCTGGCCGAGAGGAGACTCATGCCGCGCGGCAGCGTCTTGGAAAGCCGACGCGTCATGTTGTCGCGGTCGCGCGAGCGCTTGCGCAGCAGCGACGGACTGCTGAAACGCGGCTGGATGCGCACGCTCTTCTTGGAGTCGCTCAGGCTGGTGTCGGAGCGCCGCTTGGCCAGGCGGCCAGCCGCCTCAGCGGGCGCCTCCTCGTGGATGACACTCTCGCGCGGCGCGGCCGGCGCCAGCGCGCGCGCCGCCGGCGCGCTCAGCACCTGCAGGTAGGTGACGGCGCCGCAGTGCGCGTGGTACGAGATGTTGCCGCGGCCCGAGATGATGGGCACGCCCTCCAGCCGCGGCAGCGGGATGGTAAGCGTGACGCCGACGCTGGTGCCGACCCAGAGCAGGCCGCGGCCGGCCACCAGCGCCGTGACGGCCACAGAGCCGCGCACGCCGTCGCCCATGACGCGCGAGATGTTGGACGCCACGTTGATGTCCTGCAGGTGGCGGAAGGTCTCCGTGTGGTAGAGACAGATGGTGGAGCTGTGCGCCAGCGAGATCCACAGGCCGATGCCGCTGTGGGCCAGCAGGTGCACGTCGCCGGACGACTCGTGCTCCTGCACCGTGAAGCTCTTCTGCCGGACAGAGACATTACGTCGCAAATCAACGTCGCGTTAATGAGTGGCACCCTAACACTGGACGCGCACACGCTGGAGCGCGGCTCAGGTGTACAGGGATACGTGACCGCCTCAGTGAGCATGCAGCTAAGGTGTGCATAATACATGACCGTCGAGGTCACGGGTTCGAAACCCATTACCAGTTGCTTTTCCTTGCCAACGTCACCGCGACCGGGTGTGGTGCTGATAGCTTTACCCGTTGCGTGGGAGGAAAAACAAACGAATTAATACTCTTCAAATAAGGGTAGGTGGATAAAGACAACACCGTTAGGAAAAACCAAATACTTTCGGTGATGCCCAATAATTTAAGCACAGCTTGAGAACAGATCGCTCCCATTTGCAGCACTCTCTGACGGAATGGGCAAAATACACGCAACAGAAAGATCAACCCTATAACCGGGAAACAGACAGAGACGCTGTCAGCACCAGGCGTCAGACATCACGCAGCCCCTACCCGGGCATCGTCCCCCTTCTAGTCCCGCCTCTTTTCGTCGGTCGGACGGCTCTGGCGCCTCGGCCGGTGACGTACCGTGACGTCACGCGTGACGGCATCGATGACGGACACGCGGCGGCCGCAGCCGGCGTACACGGCGCCGCCGATGGGCAGCAGGCAGGAGACGGGCCGCTCGCCGAGCGGCAGCAGGGATGGCGGCCCAGGCTGCCAGCCGCCGTCCGCACCGTGCTCCAGCACGGCCACGGCGCCGTTCTCGAGCGCGGCGAACACGGCGCCGCCGAGCGCCACCAGCCGGCGCGCCGGCGACGGTAGCGGCGCGGCGCCCGTCTGCTGACATCGCTCCGGCTCCTGCGCCGAGTACAGCAGCACTCTGCCGGAATAAAGAGGCATCGAACACGTCAGCACACTGTCGGGGCAGTGACCGCCAGTGACCGCCCAAATGAAGAGACATCGAACACGTCAGCAGACTGTCGGAGCAGTGACTGTCAGTGACTACCGGAATGACGAGTCATCGCGCACGTCAGCAGACTGCTGGAGCAGTGACCGTCAGTGACTGCCCGAATGACGAGTCATCGCGCATGTCAGCAGACTGCCGGAGCAGTGACCGTCAGTGACTGCCCGAATGACGAGTCATCGCGCACGTCAGCAGACTGCCGGAGCAGTGACCGTCAGTGACTGCCCGAATGACGAGACATCGGACACATCAGCAGACTGCCGGGGCAGTGCAGTCCCGCAGCAGTGACCGTCCCGCCGACGAAAGCCCATGTGGCGAAGTGCGTGGCAGGCGTAGTTAGCATGCGACGGAGGTAACGGGGTGAACGGGCCCGCCGCAGCACGGGCGATCAATAGTTCGACAGATGGCCGGGTATTCTGGACGCCAGCGTCCGGCGGCCACAAAACCAGGGGCTTTAGAGGCCCCATGAAGGTCACCAGGGGATCAGAACGCGGACCACATAAATCATGCGAAGAAAACACGCTGTGACTACGAACGAATCAGTGATTTGTTTTTCAGTTTTTGGTTGAGATCGGCTTAATATTTGGACCGCAGACATAACTCACGGGAGCGTGTTTAACTTCGCTGCAAGTCGTTAGAGATCATCCTAGTCTTACTGCAAAAACTGCAATAAGACAAATGTCTTTGTGGCTTTGGTTATACGAGCAGCACGTACGAGATTTGCAAGAACATAAGAACGCGAGTATGGCTGGCCTGGCGTGTGGTGTGATTCTGCGTTCGAGAACATGGCGACGTATCCCAACTAAAACTGACAAACTGTCCCACGTCAGGTTTCTGAAGGAATAAGCGTGTCAGTGTTGCTAAAACATGTAACGATGTCCCATAGCTACCATATTTGTGCATCATTACATCACCGCAGTGGAGCCTCTGTTATTATATAACAACTAGCTTTGGTCCAGTAGTACCGCAATATTTTTGATGTCACAGTGAACACTTCATCATGCACCGCAGCCCATCAGTCGGCAGTGACGAGGCCCTACCCCGATGTTCATGAGTGCTGCTTTAAATAAAACTAGTCCTAGCATTTTGATCGCATGGCTTTCTGGTCCCTGAGTTTACGCTAAGCAGTGCTTGCTGAGTAAGCCCCGCCCCCACCATCTGATCGTAAAATGCCAGTCCAACAGCAAAACTTATGGCGAAAGATTAGCGAGCCGCAATGCTTAGCACGGTGCACCGCGCCCTCTGACATCATCCGACATTGAGTGTACGCTGTCACCCACCGCCGGCCAGCACAGCCAGGGTCAAACAGAGAGCGTCGAGGCGGCCTGAACACACCTATCCCACCACCTATACCCACCTATGGGGAGGGCGGGCAGCAGGCACTCTTTGACGGATCGAGCTACGGGGCGGACTGGCGTGAATGACTGGGCTAAACGGATTGGGCCTCCCAACAGGTTTTCAACTTAATTATCTTGTTGAACGATGGGACCATGCCTGCAAAAAGGAGGCTTCCCAACCCCGGTAAGGAAAAAACATCTAAGCGAATGACGAAGAGTGTTGCCCACTGTCCACAGCCGCGGCGGCTGCCCGGCTCGACCGACTACAGGTCGGGACGTACCTGCCGGCGGTCGTGCTGAGCCAGACGGCACCCGAGCGGCAGCCGGCCTCGGTCGGCTCCCCCGGCACAAACTGCATGGCCGTGACCCGCTCGGCCGGCAGCTCGAACCGCAGCACATCTCGGAAGCCCACCTGGCGGCGAGGAGGCGAAACACCGTCAGCGGTCGGCGCGGGTGGCCAGGCCGCGGCCGAACGACAGGCCGGGCGGAAGAGCGGCCGGAGGAGCAGGTGTTAGGCGCGTGATCGGGAACGGGGCAGCGGCACGCTCGGCGGGAGACAGGGAGCTGTAGCGGGTGTGGCAGGGGCATCGGCCGGCGTACACGGCGCCAGTGGGCGAGCGAGCTTGACTACGCCAGGCGAAAATGTTGTGACCTTCGACGGGCTTTTGCGCAAACATACAGTCTTGTTTGTATACTCCTGAATAAACGCGGCTAACAGCAGGTGATCAGGAAATGGGCCACCCTGCACGGCAGACGGCTTGAACTGTCGGAATTCCTGCAGATTCCAGCCGCACCGAATATTTACGCCCGACGGTCAAAACAAAACTCCGTGCTTTCAAACAGCAATCTTTCTCACCGCCGCCGGCAGCGTAAACTGGCCTTCAACCCACCTGCTGCATGGCGTAGATGATGACGAAGCTGTTGACACCATCGGTGGTGCAGATCCAGAGGTAGCTCTGCTCGCGCGTGCGCTGGGTGGGCTTGACGATGGTGACGCTGTAGAAGCAGCCGCACTGTACCTCAGTGTCGGTGCCAGCGGGCACTGGCGAAACCACCGGCATCGTCTTGACGAAGAGCGGCACCCTGGTGATGGGCCGCTGCTCCCGCTCCGGCACGTCCCAGGCCCGAGAGTTGTTCTCTGAAGGGTCGCGAGGGCGAGGGGCGAGGTCAGAGGTCAAGTGGTCACTCCGCGCCGAGCAGTGTCCCGGCACGACACTCTGGCCGAGATCGTGAGATGCGTAGCAGTGGAGCAACAGCCGGAACACACTTTACGAAAACTTCCTGAAGAAAAACCGCAAACGGGAAACCACAAGCCTGTTTACCATAACGACTTGAGACACAAGGGACGGGCGGCTGCAGCCCGCAGCCAGCAACCAGACAGCCACGGTGGCTGTCAGTGACCCGGCACCCACCGTCGAGAGCGAGCTGGGCCAGCCGGAAGTCGGTGGTCCACTCGCGCTTCTTGGCGGGCGACTCGAGCTGGAAGGTGAAGTGCTCCTCGCGGCCGGCCCGCCGCACCGCCAGCTGCAGACAGCAGGCGTCCAGCCAGGCGATCTCCTCGTCCTTCTGCCGGATCGAGCGCTGGATGGAGGCGGCTATCTGCGCCGTCAGCGCCGTCGTCAGGCCCTGCCGCCAGAGGTGAGCGTCACCGGCGTTCAGACGCACCGGCGTCAGAGGCAGCGCGCCTCGACGGCGGGGGCGCAGGGTAACGGCCCGGCGCCGAGGCGCAGCGGCAGCACGGCACGACCAACAGCTGAGAGACAATGTGACAACGTGAAAGCGAGTGAGCCTGTAACGGTACTCGGCGAAAACTCGGCCTTGGAGTGCCGATCGGTGAAACGGCGGCTTATTCACCAGATGCTCGCCCACTCCGCGCTGCTCACCGGGTACTCGCCCTTGAGCGTGTCGACAAGCGAGCCGATGCGCGACACCACTTCGTAATCGTGCATCAGGTTGCTCATCTTGTGGCAGAGCTGGCCGACGTTGGTGAGCGCGCCGGCAGCAGCCTCGTCGGCGGGGCGCGCGCCGCCCGGCGGCCGCGTCGTAGCCGTGATCACGTGGCTCAGCGTCAGCGAGGTGCTGGCCTCCTGGATCTCGACGTCCGTCACCGGCACCGACCACTTGAGCGTGAGTCGCTCGGCGGCGGCCGTCTCGTCGGCCGGCTTTCCCGCCACGCTGACGCACACCACCAGGTCGTTGAGCAGGAAGAGGCGCCGGCTCTTGGACTTGCTGATGGAGCCGTTGGTGCCGAACTCGAGCCGCGTGGCGTTGTCCTCGCGCAGCAGGTAGCGGTTCGTGTCGGCCAGAGAGCGCATCGAGAACTTGCCGTTCAGACGTCGAAGCGTCTCGCGGAAGGCCTGCCAGGGGGGGGGGGGGCGCCGATCACATGCCTTGTCCTCTACGTAAAAATCACGTTTGGGAGCCACGTCCCCTAATACTCATAATGAAATCTCATTTAGCGTCTCTCGGGTCAGGGTGAAATACGAAAACCTATTGGACAACGGAAGAGAAAACCGTTGAATATCTCAATACTTGGTGTTGCACATCAGGGACGCACACACGACACACCTGAATGAGATGTGTTGAATGACAGGGTCTGAAAACAAAGCCCACAAATACTTACGCAAAAACCTCGTCACCATTTACTATCACCAGAATCCCTGCCCATCCCTGGCCTGGCCTGGCCTGGCCATCAGATCAAATCCCTGGCCATCAGCCAGGGATTGCACCGTCCATGCAAGGGACAACACAACTACAAAGGGCGTAAAAGAGTGAGAGCCAGAGGTGAGACCCATGAGATGAACACACCTCACACATAAGCAAACAGCGCGCATCAGTCTCGCGGACACACCTTGAACTGTTCCGATTCGCGCTTCCTCTCGTTGAGCATCTCTGCCAGCGACTCGAGCTGCGTCAGCGCCAGCTGCAGCGACATCCTGTCGTGGTGACCCTGAGGAGTGTGCTTCAGCAGATCCTGAGCAGAACAAACAGGCACCGCGTTAGTCAGCACACGCGCCGAGCTGAGGTGGCGCGTGGGATCGCCGCGTCTTTTCGGATGAGCACAGGCCAGGTGGTCGGTGAGCAGCTGCTGTTCGCACCCGGCGTCTGACCTCAAGCGTCAGACGCAGGTGGTGCGTTCGAACGAAAATAATGCCGCCGAGAAATAAAAAAATGTTGAAATGAACGCCACCACGACCACGAGGGCACGACGCTTCCAAGCCAAGGCAGACTGACAGGACAGCTCCTGGACGGCACCTACCTGCAGAAGCAGAATGAACTGCGGAAACCTCTGCACCGGCTTCACCATCAGGCCGAACAGCGACAGCCGGTCCAGTGAGCTGATCTGCCGCATCTTCAAGAAGTCGGCGAACGCGCTCTTCCGTTTCGCTTCGTGCTTGATGGTCTCCATGGAGACGGAGAAGTTGTTGATGAAATCAGAGTAGATGTCCAGCACGATGGCCTTGGAGAAGGACGCGACAAACACGTCGCCGATGCGCTCTTCGGCGTCCCACTGGCGGACAGCCTCGGCCAGAGCGATCCGGAACAGCGTGTGGCACTGCAGGATCTCGGGCACGCGTTTGAAGATGACAGATATCTTGGCAGAGTTCAGCACCGGCGGGTGCGCCTCCTCCATCACCTTCTTGTAATCCTGGCAACGGCGGTGTGGCTAAGTCAGAGAGGAAGGGCAGCCGTGCTCCGGAATGTGGGGTGTTTCGTAAACGAGACGCGCTCTGCAATCGTCTCTCCGAGGCAGGGGAGGTCTAAAGTTGGCTAAAAATACAGGGAGCTCCAGCCGCCTGCTCGTGCGTCGCTCAGCTCTGGCGCTATTGAGTGTACGCGACGGAGTGTTATTACATTCCCGTAACATAATTACGAAGCAGCTCGCAAATCTACCGAACCATGGTGCATTACACTGGAGCCAGCCTAGCCGGATGTGCGACTTACGTCAGTGACAGCAGCCACCTCCTTTCATTAACCAGTCCCTATTTCACTATATTTCACTACATTATCACCATATAAGCCCTTCCCACGTCACCTGAGAGCACTCACATTGACTAGACTTTGCAATGAGGCGACATAGTTGTTCTCGCTGTGTACGACGCTCTGCACGATGTGGCGCCGCTTGACCTGCTCGGAGGTCAGCCCCGCGGGCGCTGGCGGCAACGACGGAGGCTGGTGGCGCCGGTGGAACAGCAGCTCAGCAGCTTCGACGTCCTCGTTTACCTGAGGTCAAGTCAGCGTGTCAGCGTGGTATTTTGCTGCCCCACTGATGATCCAGCGCACCGGACCGGCCACATGATTCAATTATTAACAGTTCGTGCCCAAGGACGTAAAAGCATGCGCTTGCTAGGCATGGGGCTCTGTCGTCCGTGTGGAAAAGAGACAAATTGGCTTGTTTGCTGGTCTGTTAATAACGCATCACTGAGCGGTAGCTTCTTGCGTGGCCCTCGCAGTGATGGAAATATTGCTATGATTAAAACCCCTTGTTAGAGCCTTCACCCCGTGACATTGCAAGGAGGGATAGGGCAGCAGTCAACGATGCCTAGGGCTCGCCACAAAGCAATACTCGTACGGCGCGTGAAAACCGCGCGAGTTCACGTCCTTGCATCCTGATATCCGCTCTGTGCAGAAATAACTGTGTACGTTATTACATTCTACCGAACCGTGGTGCATTACACTGGGTCCGTCCGTACGGGTCCGTCTGTATCATGCCACATACACAGACACCGACAGGTATCGTGTTCAAAATTTTGCGGGATAAGGTTGCGTCAAAACATAGTGAACATATCGGATGGCTGGCTGTGACTATTTGATGTGGGTGCGACCAAACACGTTTGATATATCTGGTGCCGGGGCTGTAGCTCAGATCCAATATGCGCATCCCAGATGTGCAGTTGCAAAGGCACTGCCCGCGCGATCTCCCTCCGATGTCAGCGTAAGGACATCAGAACAAGCTCACAAGGATCAGCTGGGAGGCGCTCACCGAGGACATTTTGGTGAGTGAGCGCGTCCTCTCTGAGATGTCGTAGTGGCTAGACTTCCTGAGCGAGAACCAGCGGCTCAGGCGTCCTTCGCCCTCGTCCGAGTCGCGCCGCGAGGAGGGGCGCTTCTCCAGCGAGCTCTTGCGCTCGACGGCCGCCGCCGCCGGCTCCGAGTGGGCCGTCCCATTCTTCTTCGGCTTCTGCGAACTCCGCTTCCGCCGCAGAAGGTGTTTGATTGCGCCGAAGCTGAAACAAGATGGCGGCACCGCGTCAGCAGGTCGAGCGGCAGCCGCCCTTCGCTAGGCACAGAGATCAGAGGGGAAATTGGACTGAATGATAAGTGTTCGGCCTCTCGTTGATCGCGCTCAGAAGCTGACAAACGCCAGGGTCAGGCTTTACAAGATCAAGGTCAACTGGATGTGCCGGTCATTTAAATCGTATTTTCGTAGGTTGTTCAGTGCATTAGCGAGGAACGTTATTCACCTAGATTACAGCTATTACAGCTATCACAGTAGTAATAGCCTTATTCCCCAAAACAGACAATAGAGTGGAGATGTGGTTAGGTTGACATTTCGGGAACATGTCTGTCGAAACAGTGGTAGAAGTTATACCCAACCCAACTATATTTCCATTCTGCTTTGACTCCGAGGAATTTCTCCGGGGAGTTTCTCCGAGAAAGACTATTACTACCGTCAAATCGCAATTTCACCTGACATGAACTCCCTGAAACCGCCACGGCACATTAAGATTTGAGGTTCAGAGTTAAGCTTCGACATATTGCTGCTATTTATAGGCACCATACAATGTATCCAATCCTGAAATGGAGGCACCAGGCCGGGCGCCATCTGCAACCCCAAAATGCAGAAACTTTCAACAATGGCTGTGATGTCATGTGCCAGAGACGATATGTCCTGCCCCCCGCTGTACATTAGAGAGATGTTCAACTGGGCCCTGTCGAGGACGTTTTTGCAAGGTTTCCCTTATTCAACGTCGGCAATCGCGGTTATTCAACGCGGCGAAATCACTGCGTAGCGCCTTACTAAAGCACTGGCCAGGAGCGCAAATTTGCGCACCGGGCGCGTCTCTGCGCTGTTCATTACGCAGCTAAGAAAACTGCTGTTCTCTGACCTCATGCTTCCTGAGCCTAGAAGCTGCGGTAACGCGGAGTGGAGTGGGGGGGGGGGGGGGGGGGGGGGGCGGACTGACCGCCCCCAATTTTATCGCTAAAATGTTTGATGACGCAAGAGGGCAGGACGGCAGGACGATTCGCACCAAACATTGCGGCGCTTTCGCCGCAAACTTCTGCCGCTGGCCCGACTTTCCACCATCGGATGGCGCAGTCACGGCTCACGCCAACATCACAGCTCCACGTGGGAGCTGATCCCACATATCGGTCTGATCTAAAAACTCGTACCATGGTCTTAAACAATTAATCAAAGACCATTTTGACTGAAAAGAAATACTTAAACATGGCTCCTCCCCCAACTCGGGAGAACATACGTTACCCCTATGTGTACAGCGACCGACCTAGGGCCACACCTGTTTCGGTGAGGCAAGCATGCCGTTTACGAAGCATTTCACATTCCGGGGCTCAGATGCCTTTCCTGCCGACTTATTTGTCCCTCTGATTTGCTTGCCGCTAATGAGCTTAAGAGTTCAATGCGGCGTAAAATACCGCCAGGCTTCGCATTGCACTCATGGTCAGCAATTCCTAAGAATTGGTCATACCGCGGCGGCATATATCATAGGCTCTAGGCGACCGTCACGATGAAAACCGAACTTTAGATTGATAGATTCACCGATAAGGCTCTACGTCTAGCCATCATCTCTTGTATGCATATACCGCATGACATGCTTGACGACGAATGAAACCAACCCTAGCACCATTCGCCCACGCCCGAACCCCATAACGTCAACAGACTAGTCTGTCTAGTCTATGCAGATTTCTATGTCTAGTCTATGCAGATGTCTATGTCTAGTCTATACAGACTAGTCTGTAGCCTAGTCCGTATCGCGGCGGGTTCAGTCCGGCGTGCTTCAAGCTCCGAGATCCTGAAGACCGTGCAGCAGCAACCGTCCAGACCCGGACACCTCCGGAATCACCGAGGCGCGGCCAGCCAGCCATTCTACCGCTGACGTCAGGGCATGACGTCAGACTGCGCCAGGTGGGCGTTTGTGGCGCCCTTATTAGATCCGCCCGATGAATGGCGCGCGGCGCGTTTGGCTCTCAACGATGTGCATCGATCAGAGGCCGGATAGGCACGCGTTGAGACAGTGACGCGGTGAAACATCGAGACTTTGAAGGGCCTGCTGATGGCACTTGACCACCTCAGACGGGCCACGATGACGGGAAACGTAAACATGACATCCGCTTAGCGAACGAGTTCTAGCTCTGGTGAGGAACACGTTCAGTTCAAAAGGCGGATTAAGAATAGATCTATCACGAAGAACCATGCGCGGAAATGAGTGGGAAGATCACTGGTGGCTAAGGAGGCAATGCGTGGCTCAAACACAGCTATGAGAACTACAGCTTCAGACATGTCGGCTGCTTTCCAAAATCCGCTCCCGTCCGCCCGATGTGGCCCAATCGTCACCGACCAGCTGGTCCACCGGCTGGCTCCGAGCCCGGCGCAGCGGCCGACAAGGCACTAAAGCGGAGGACGGTGGGGCCCCGACCCCGCCACGGCGGCCGACGGCAAGGAACTAAAGCGGAGAAGGGCAGGCGCGGCCGCTGCCTGTACCGTGGCTCCATACATACTGAGCAGGGGTATGCCAGGCTGGAACATGCAGGGCGGCTCAAAACAGCTGCAGTTCGGGCAGGCTGGAATCAGGGCAGTCTGGAGTCGGGGCAGGCACTGGAGTCAGGCACTGGAGTTGGAGCTGGGATGGAGCTGAGTCGGAGCTGGGTTGAAGCTGGGCTGGAACTGAGTTGGAGCTGGGCTGGAGCTGTGTTGGGACTGAGTTGGGGCTGGGATGGATCCTGGCTAGAGATGGGCTGGAGCTGGGCTGGAGCTGGGCTGGAGCTAGGTTGTAACTGAGCTGGAATTGTGCTAAAGCCGAGCTTAAGTCGTATTGTGGTTCAGCTGGAGCCAGGCTTGGTATGGGCTGGGGAGGACTGAAGCTGAGCTATATAATCGGACTGAAGCTACATCGCGTCGAAAAGGAGAAGGGGTTGAAGCGAGGCTGAGGACATCCCGGAACTCTGTCAAAAATGAGCTAAAATCACGTGTCGACATTACCCTTCTGCAAAGGGAGCAAACACCTACGTGGCTCCGTCACAAAGTCGCTAACACCACTTTCTAACATACCGTTTAGGCCGTTCCGTTCCATTCAATGTCAAAGGCATAACACTCAATTTGGAAAAGTAAGGCGGACTTGTCCCTCCGACTCTCCTTTCTACGGCTGAGTCCATGGAGGAACTCAACGTAAACGTTGGAGGGTCACGCTGTCGTTCAAGTTCCGTTCTCAATAACATAACAGCACTGCATTGTGGTGTCATTGTGGTGCCAGTCCACGCTTAGGACTGCTTTCCCACCAGCAAAACACGAGGAATGCTGAACTTCCTGGTGCTGACAGATCAGCTGCAGCGTGCCGTCTGTGCTTAGCGACTACCTTATCGGCGTGTGCGTCTGGCCTGTCTCGCGCGTGCGCTGGCTGACCCGGCTGACAGCGCTCCGCGGCTGGCTGTGCGTGTGCCGAGTGCTGGCGACACGCGACTGGTCAGTGGGCGGTCCCCAGAGCGGCGGCGCGCTGCCAGCCCCAGTTCAAAGACACCGCAGCGTCGGCCCCGGCTGACAGAGCCCTGGCTGCCCTCCACTCGGGCCGAGACCTCGCGGTCGGCACCGCTTCGGCGCAACTGACAGCTCAGGGCCGGCCCAGCTGACGGGCAGAGGCCGACCCAGCAGCCCAGCAGCGGGGGCTGAGAGCACGCGGTCGGCACCGCTTCGGCGCAACTGACAGCTCAGGGTCGGCCCAGCTGGCGGCCGGGGGCCGACCCAGCAGCCCAGCAGCGAGGGCTGAGAGCACGCGGTCGGCACCGCTTCGGCGCAACTGACAGCTCAGGGTCGGCCCAGCTGGCGGCCGGAGGCCAGCCCAGCAGCGAGGGCTGAGGATCGGCCCACCTGAAGGCCGAGGGCCGGCACAGCAGCCCCGTAGCGAGGGCCGAAGGCCAGCCTAGCTGACGGGCGAGGGCCCAGCCCAGCTGCTAGCTCAGGTGGCCGGCCCAGCAGCGGGCCGACGGGAAGCCAGGACAAAGCTCGGGGTCGGCCTTAACACCAGTTAACAGTCGGCACGTCCAGAGCGAAGCGCGTCAGCCGATGTCAACTGACGCCAGCTGACACCGCGGCTGCCCCGTCGGTGGCCCCACGCCGCGTGCTGCCGCCGCCGCCAGCCCGGCTCCTCCCCCATCCCCACACGTGCCCCACACAGGGCGCGGCCGCGGCCGTCCGACGCCCCGGCGCCAGTCCCACGGTTCCGGAGCGCGACTCGGCGCCGTCCACGTCTGCCAGATCGGTCCAAGTTTGGCCGGCCGTCCCACGTCCTGGGCGGCGACACGCGAGCGTTTCGTCCGCGGCATGCCCGCAGGTCACAGCCGGCAGCCAGAGCAAACAGGCGCCGGTGCCAGCGTCCCACGGCTGCCAGCGGCGCCGGCGGCTACTCAGTGGAACACCCGCTCCGATCAGCAGAAGCAGCTGCCGCACTGCACGGCCGTGAGGACAGGAATGCCACGGCTCTCCCTCCCCATGGCAAGCGCGGTTAGTCCGCACCGTGTGTTTCAAGAAACGGACTTACGGGGTCGCTGGGGAGAGGCTGCGGCCACATATATCGCCGGCTCGGAAGACGGCATCAGTGGCAGTCACCAGCGGGGGAAGATGGATTGGGGCCGCTTCCTGAGCTCGGAGCGAACACATGCAAGGATGATAGATGTTGCCGTTGTTCGCTCGGTCATCGAGATGCCTGGGCTGTCAGCGCTGGTGGCGATGGTATAACACAGACGTGCAAGTAGTCAGGACGACGGCCTCCGGGGAAGAAGGAAAGATGTATCTGTGCTCCTTAACAGACAGTGACATCTAACATGCTTATCAAGGGAGCCCTGAAAGAACTGGTATAAATGGTGCGCACGCATCGTGATGAAAGATTCGTTCGCATAGTTTGTTTGGCAACTGTTTTCTTGATGGTTCATCTCAACGGAAAGCACGGCCAAACAAACGACGGCCAAACGCGGAGATTCCGCTGCATGCTGATTG